GTTAAATGATGTGATCTTTATTTTGCTGTAAATTAAAAAATAAAAATGGCTCTTCAGCTCCAGAAGAAATAGGTTCAAAAGAATGAGAGAGAATGGAAGCAACGCTTTCCTCGAATTGTGGCCCTTTAGAAAACTATCAAATCTATTTTGCAATACGCTCCTCTCAAGAAAAATCAGTCGATAAATTTTAACTATTAAAAAATTAAGCAAGTAAAACAATATTAACAATAAACTTGTCAACACTTAATTGTTTTAAACAGAGTTCTTATCCTTCAAAACTTGCCATTTTATGGAACAAATGAAAGTTTATACAATGCTAGCAAGTGGTTCTGTCCCTTTTTGATCCTGTCATGAATAAACATTTGTGTTGAGTCAAATAGGTAATCAACCATTCTTTCTTGATGTGAAAAAAATGAGGTTACAAAGTTTCCTGTGCGAGTTATAAAGCAACAATTTTTTAATGTATGCAAACTCTACCAAATACTATTCAAATATTATGACCTGCACATATTGAACAAATAACAACGTAAGTCTTGTTGATGTAATCAAAGTATCAGATGTATCAGATATGTCTGAGTCAAACGTCGTCATAAGAGAGCATTTTTCGACTATACGCAACGTTATACTAGAATTTCTTCTTAGGGAGCTTAAGCAAATAGAATTATCAAGTGAACATCTGCGTGTTCAAGGTTATTATAATGGAAATTTATATGAAGCTGTCGAACGAGGGTTATTCCCCTTGAATTGGTGCTTTTCCAGAGAAAAAGACGCCATCTTGGTTATGCCCATTTTGAGTTTGATAAAGCCTTGTAATTGATTTGGTTACACAATAAGAGTAACATGCAAGGAGAAAGAAAGGGGTTTCTAAAAAAAAAAAATCTTGGATATAAACCCACGTGGATTTTTACCTACAGGAAAAAAATACATGTACCTTTTATTAGCTCTAAAACAGCGGGGAAATGTTGCACGAACGCGCACACCAAGCGGATAAAAAAAAAACGAGAAAAATAATTTTTAGGATAGATTTTATGTTTATTTTGGATTTAATTATATACAAAAAGTAAAAAAATGATACTTTATAAAAAATAAAGATAAAAGGGGGAATAAACAAATATTAGGATTCTAAATTTAATATTTGTAACAATATGATGTATTCGTGTTTTCTTTACACATGTTGTCACCATTTTTTGCATTTTGAGAAGTATACATGCCACCATAGCATTGTCTTTGACTTCTTCCAGCTTTATTTGCAAGCAAATACACCAGGAAATTACGTAATCTAATGAATCCTAAAGTTGCCAATTAGTCATTTAGACTCGATTCTAGAATGAATGACGACCGTATGGTTGGAAAAAGTTTAAATCGTCAATTGACGAAATATCAACTGATCTTTCAATGAAATCAGTTCAATTGAGATTCAATACAAGGTTATATATATATATATATATATATATAATATATATATATATATAATATATATATATATATATATATATATATATATATATATATATATATATATATATATATATATATATATATATATATATATATATATATATATATATATATATATATATATATATATATATATATATATATATATATATATATATATATATATATATATTATATATATATATAATATATATATATATATATATATGTATATATATGTATATATATATATATAATATATATATATATATATATATGTATATATATATTATATATATATATATATATATATATATATATATATATATATATATATATATATATACATATATATATATATTATATATATATATATATAATATATATATATATATATATATATATATAGATTCCTATAATATATATGTTATAATATATATATATATATATATATATATATATATATATATATATATATATATATATATATATATATATATATATATATATATATATATATATATATATATATATATATATATATAATATATATATATATCATCAGATTCCCCAACTTTAGCTTCAATCGTCGCGGGGTGGGGGTTTCAGGACAGAAGAAACAGACTTTGATTATTCTTCCTCATGATACTTTTATTGGCCTTTCAGATAGCTTGGCGGCGCCCATCTCCTCTTCAAGGTATATAAATATAACCAAAAGTACTAAACTTATCTTCCAAGCAACACTAGCATCTTTGACTACCAAGCTGAATCACACACTTTAAGCTTGGTACACAACGATGCTGATGTTATTTGTAAGATACAGAAGGTGGCAGAAATACCTCCTACATAATGTTAAGGTATTTGTTGCGGTGGTGTCTTAATCTAGCTAATGTCTTCCCATTATGTGGGAGGTATTTTTACCTCACCCTGTACTATTTTCTTCTATTTGGATTATCATATCAATAACTATTTATTTCCATCGAACGAAATCTTATGAAATTCTCATTAGTCATATGTCAGACTTGGACATAACTGTTAATCTATTGTGGAACAAGATATACATGGCCGGTAATAAAATCACAGGTAAAATGTCATAATTTATTTTGGTCGGTAATAAAATCACAGTTTAAAATGTCACAATTTATTTTGGCCAGTAATAAAAATCACAGGAAAAATGTCACAATTTACTGTGGCCGGTAATAAAATCACTGAAAAAATGTCACAGTTTATTGTGGCCTGTAATAAAGTCATCTATTTCTATCCGGTACTCCACGAGTTTATGTGTCCGCTCTGTTCGCAACAGAAATTCATAGTAAATTAGTCTAAGCTGTAAAAACGTTTTGTGACAATGATTCAGTCACATATTCGGAATATTTCATATTTAGGGAGAATTCCTAGTATCTCATAAAACCCGAGTTTCTTCATATAAAGTCTCAATGTGATGTTAAAATTTGAATTAAAAGTTCCTTGAATTTTCAATTTATGTATGAGACTGAGATTTTGTCCGCTGTGTACTAAACTTGTCTAACTACACATATATCAGGCTTGGACATAATTGGTAATCCATTATGAGGACTATGATAAGAGAGATGGGACTTATTCTTTAGAACCATTGAGATATCATCTGCAATGTTTTTATAGGTATCTTTGAGGATTTAACAGGTCGATCTGAATTGAAGCTAAGGCTCTTTTTTACACTATTGTTCCTCCAATACAAGACCCAAGAGCCACTCACAGTGGAGAGCTTTTTTCTTACTCTTTTCTGCTATATGCATACATACCAGTTTTTTTTTCTCTTTTATGAATCATGTTATGCGTTATATAAAAATACATAAAAATATCTTCACGTGTTGAAATTTATTCCTTTTGAAAATACTGAGTTCATTTCGGGTCTACGAGTTTATATGGAATTAACTAAAGATGGTGTTTCAATAAAATCACTGTGGAGATGACACCGGGAAAGCACTCCACTATCAGCCCCAAGAAAATTCATGGCAATACACAAACTACGTTTAAGAAAAAGAGAAACAAGTATGACAATTAGAATCAGAAAAAAAAACATTTGAAATTTTGAGACATATAAATAGGAAAAGGACTTGGTATAAAACTCACAAGGCATATTGAAGGCAAGAGGGACAGAAAAGGACATCAAGTAACCTACCTAACAAGATTGTATAAATGGATGACAGAACAAGGAAACAGCACATAATAGAAAGCTACAAGATGGCGGCGGTTAGCATAAAATTAAGTGGTTTTTAATTCAAAATGATTCGTGTGCCAAAAATAAAGATATCCAAAAAATACGTTTTTATTTTCTCGTCCAATTTAAAATAAATTTCGTGATTTCAGTTTTTAAGATTTAACTTCTTTCTTTTTATGAGTCATGTTCTTTGAGGAAGTAGGTGATTATGGATCTCCACCTCCCTCTATCCCTTTGTAGCTCTCAGCAAGTTCCTTCCCTCTGCTTCCCCTCCCCATCCACCTGCTCAAGCTCGCCATGTATGTCACGCACTACTTCCCTTTATCTCTCTTTCCCTCTATTCGACTCGTGAGTATCAGATTCTCCAGACCCTCCTTCCTCATTATGTATCCCAGAAACTTCAGCTGCCTCTTTCTGATATTAAGTATAAGCCTTCTTCTTGTTTGCAACCTCTCTAAGACCTCATCGTTGCTCACACGCTCGGTCCACGATATCCTTAGCATCCTTCTGAAGAACCACATCTCCGTCTCCTCGAGTCTCTTCTTCCTTTTTGAGGAAATCGTCCAATATTCCTTGCCGTAAAGAAGGGCCAGATGCCACGTAACAGCTCAGTATTCTTTCTTTGTTGCCAAAGAAATCTTCCTCTCATAATACTCTGCTCAGCTTTTTGAGTGTGTCCTTGGACATCCCAATACGTCTACGGATCTGTGTCGCAGTTACCGTCCTCAGTCAAGACGCTTCCCAGATATTTAAACTTCCGCGTCTGCTTGATTCTAGTGTTCCCAAAACTTACTGTTCTTAAAAATTCAACTTAGCATCTTCTGAAGATCGTTGGCAGGAGTGAGCAAATACTTGGCTTTGTCAGTGGCGCTAAGAAGTTTGGAGCCAGTCGTAACACAAAAATAACCTACTGACCAGATTCAACCTGAGGTCATAAAAATTTGACGACTTCAAGAGAGTTAGCGCCGAAGTCCTAAATTCCAAACACAGACAAACATCGCTTACTACTATTATTAGCTTCCACTAATAGAAATCATCAACACAGTAAGTACACCTCTTCATTCCCTGTAGAAATCGGTTGATCTGTTTTTTACGGCTTATCAAACTTTTGCAGGTTATTTAAAGCCAGAAAATATTTTTAGACTAAGAATTTCCTGAAGAAATTTGAATATAATTGATTTTTAAATGATTTACTAATAAAAGCCCTACTAATTAACCCATAGTTTGGGGCGGTAGAAGAGGTGGTTTCATGCCTTTCCCAAGAGTATTTGCGCATAAATGAATATAACAAAGCCGACTGGAATCTCGACTCTCCGATTTCCGGTTCCGAGCCGTTATCCATTATACCACACACACATCCAAGCTTACAGAACCTGGTATTCCAAAGTGGTCACCCACCTAGGTACTAACTAGACTCAACGTTGCTTAACTTCAGTGATCGTACGAGAAACCGGTATTTCAATATGATATGGACGTAACCCTGTAAAAATCGAACTTATGATCAGACTTTGCAAACCATCACCTAACGACAGGCGCCAGGGTGGTAACACCTGTTAGGGTCTCAGCTATGGGCAAGTAGTTAACTCCAAACTGGGATCAAAACAGTATGAAGGTATAAAAATAGATTTTTATAGTAAAAATACCAGCAATACATTTTTGAAAAAAAATATTACCAGCAATACAATTGACTTTCGACAAAAAACTTCTTTACAAAATACGTCGATGAAACCTGATCGACAAACTAATTTCTTACAAAGAACAGATATTCTGTTCATACGAATATATTCTAAAAATCTTGTCGGCATTAAATAACCCACGCCGTAAAACAAAAGTCAAACCAAATGACAGGCGCCCTAGGACTTCAGTAATATGAAATAAATTCTCATTATAATCATTATAGAAGTGAATATACGAAAAGTTAAGGCTTAGATGGATAAAATGTGGTTCTTCAGTCCAACATTATTGTGCTGTGTATATTATGACTAGCAAAAACGTGACTCTCGAACTGCATACGGGACATTACTATTTAATGTACAGTTTGTTTAGATATTGAATGTTTATATTCAGTATCTAAAATATTTGTGTAAATGCATTGAATATTGTTGTCAGATCTGGTCTGCTGCTTCTGCTATGTATTTAGAGATTCTAGATAGAATACAAATAAGAATCTAAAATGTTATTGGTCCTGACCTGGCATCCGTGCTTCAATCACTTTCCCCCCTGCCGTAATGTAGCTTCCCTGTGTTTTTTCTATAAATCTTTTCATGGTCATTGTTCTGATGAACTTTCCCCTTTGATATCTAGACTTTATGAATTTAAGTGGAGTACTTGATGGGCGGCAAGGTTTCATCGTTTTATAGTTGAAATGGCTAGATGTAACCGTAAGTTCTATGCTAATGATCTCTTCTCTCGCACCCCTCACTTGTGGAACCCTCTTCTGGCTTCTTGCTTTCAAGTCAACTTTGATCTTCGAAACTTTAAATGCAATGTCAATCGTTATCTTCTGTCTTCTTGATTCCTATTATTTATTTTTCTCTCTCTTTAATAATATTTTATTTTTCACGTATTATCTCACACTCAGTAACTTCTTGAGTCTTAGTGGTTTTACTGCCTTGCTTGAGATGAATTGATTAAAAAGAATGTTTCCTGAACTCGTTATCTCATCGTAGTTAATATAAAAGCTAAATAGGAAAATGTCAAGCTTTATAATCTATATAATAAATGAAAATGTCACTGTTTCGCGTTATCACATTTTTTCAACTTAAAGGGACACAACTCTCTAACTTTCAATAGCTCATGTTCAAATGAAAAATTACTGTTCTCAAATTAGTGTTTCAAAATAAAATTATCCGTGTTTTCAACTTTACTCCTCGAGGCCGTAGCCCAACATATACCATTTGGAATCAGGCTAACTCCGTGAGCAAATTAAAAACATTCCGAGGCGCATCTGGATCCACAACCTTGAAATTATGGATTCCCAAGTTTTCATTATTACGATTGTTTTCGGCGATTTTTACGTGATTTATTGCGACAAATTTCTTTGTACGATAACAATTTTTATAACTTGGAAATCAATTTGTGAATAATCGAAATTAATTGCGAAATCCAGAGAAAGTCACCCACGAAATAAAAATAATTGTTTGTATGGAAATGTACATCAAATTGTCTTTAAATTAAGTGGCGACAGAGGAATTATCCTTGAACTTTTAGAAGGTAAGCTTAAATATTTATGCAATGTTTAAATGCAACGATCAATTTCGAGTTCTTCTGTAGTTTATTGTTGCCTATTGCATCTATTCATCCCTGCCTATTGTGATGAAGGCCTATTCAAGAGCCCTCCGCAGGAGCTAGCTTAAATGTCGCCCGATTATTGAGAGAGAGCAGAATGCTAAAAGGTGACGCTGAGTTACAAATATACGAAGCCCAATATACCATCCTGGCATTCAGTCTTATAAGGGTATATCAGGCACATGCATCACAGTCAAATATGCACGATATGGTGACAAAAAAAAACAGAGCATAACTTTGCAGGTTGGGCCAGGTTCGAAATATCTTCAGGTTGGGTAACGCAGTCCGCTCAAACTGTCTCCAATTGAAGGTGTTTCCACATATTTAGATGTGACTCTCAAGTTAGCTTGGCTGCCTCATATTTCGAAATCGGCCATGATTCCCCCCCCCCACTGCTCACGATCACGACGAGAGATGTACCGTGCTTCAGCCCCTAAGGAACAAGTCCAGCTGGTTACGGTCAGGCAACTGACAAGGAAATCTGTGGCACAGAACGGTGTGGGGGTTAAACCTACTTAGTCTGCCAAGACGCTCGTTCGATGGCCTCCACTTCAGGAGTATAGAAGACCATTAAAGCTTCGCCTTCCTCCTCTTTTCGTTAGAAAATGCGATAAGTAGAAGACTTGTCTAGTCTTCCCTTCTAGTGGGGACTTAGGCATCCGTCCACGTGTTGCATTTCCCATGCACGCACTCAAGCAAAACCACATTTCCAAGTAGCTAAGTTTTTAATGGATTTTCTTTCCCTTTCAACTGTGTATTTTCTCTTTTGTTAATAATTTATTAGTTATATAAAAATACACGAAAATATCTCCGTATTTTATCTCTTTTTACCTCTACAAATGACGACAACGCGTCATTAACGCGTGAAAGTTGTAGGTGCCACTGCCTTCAATTGAGTTGGTATTGACTGCAACGACGTTATATTTACTGCAGCCCATCTTAATTGGCCAAGACAATATATGTACACGTCATTACCGTCAATTAATTAAAACTAGAAATCATAAGAGACATGCCTGGTGTAGCATCAAAGCATTTGTTGTTGTTGTTATTATTATTATTATTATTGTCTATTTTTACGTTACTGAAATGTAAATCTATAGGAAATTTTGTCGCCCAGGTTTTTTTTTATATTAAAAATAAGAACGTTCGAATTCCAAAAAAATATTAAAATAAAAGTAAAGAAACCATGGGTTTGCCTGTTAAATAAATAATTTGCCTTTACAAACATATGTACATGAATTCGTCTTCTTTGTGTGCCATGTTCCGTCAAGACGTAGGCGTTCATGGCTCTCCGCAACTTCCTGTCCTCTGAAGCTCTTAATAATAAAAAGAGTTAAAAAGGAGTAAAAATAGTCTTTAGTTGAGTTAAAGTCTATAAGTAATTGATACGCAAAAAAATCTGTAATTTAAAAATGACTTTTAAATAGTCTACAGAAAAAAAAAATCTGTGGTTGAGAAAAAACATCATTAGCGAAGATTCACTGGCCGTCTTTGTTGTTTTGTTGTTGGAAATGGTTTGTTTGAAGTCAATCTGGTTGTCCATGCTGTTGTTGATGATTCGTTTGAAGTCGACGGCATATGTTTCTTTCAACACGCTCGGTGGCGGAAGTATGACAGTTCCATCATTGCTCTTTGAAAGTCGAGAGCTGTGGGTTTCTATAAGAATTATTTCTTGAAAGAAGCTCGAGAACGATAAGATTTTACTTTTATCTGATTGGTGAAATATTTCACAGGGTTATGTTAATTTCTAACCAATAGACACTTTGATTTTTTTTTAAACGGTGTGTGTTGTATTGTGGAATCTTTTTTGAAATATTGTCTGTTATTGGGTAGAAAATAAAGTTTGGGCGTGATTTAATATGGTATTTATGTGGCTATGTCAGTGTGTTAAAAATAGGGTTAATTTCTAACACACCGATTTTTCTTCGTTATTCGCATAAGTTCTTACCATATTAGATATAGTCAAAAATCAAAACAACCACCAGTTATGATTTGAAAAAAATGAGTATACATGCGTACCTCCTAATTACTTAAACTAATACAAATTAATGGTTTTAAAACTACACATATAAATAAATATTATTAGCGGACCGAGTTCAATTTTCGGTTGAGGCTGTTGTGTTAACTTAGCTCTAATGTTCTCGAGAAAGGCAAGAATAAATTAAACAACAGGGCAGACCTGGGGTAATCAGTCTAGGAGAAGGAAAACTTTGAATTCAAAATCGTGGAAAAGGCAACGGGAAATAAATCACTATAATATTGTAGAGACATTTTAAGAGGAATGACCATTGTGGATGTTTGTTTACGGCTACGTGAATAACATGCCCGCACAATTTATATTAAACGTAAAATAACACAAAGCATGACGAGAAGAAGGAATAAAAGGTTTTAAAAGAAATATAACACTGTATTTGTGTGTTGATGTACATGCGTAGAAGTTAAAGATCTGATGGAGTTATGTCTCTTAGACTGGGAATATTTTTATCGGAGCTCACGAAGTTGGATTTATTATTAGACTGTAATTTTAGAAGAATAAAGTTCTTGTTGCGTGTTTGGAAATGTTCTGTATGTTTGTAAAAGTTCGTAAGAGTTCGTACGTACGTGAATGCATGAAATATTATTTATCGTCTGACCGCATGGTCGAGACGATAATTCTTAAAAGTCACACCTTCGCAGGAATTTGGAAGAGTAAAAGAGAATGAGCGAACTCGTGTCTGTTATTTGTAGATAATGCAATCATGTGACAGGATCAAAAGAACTTGGCGGGAAACTTGACTTGGTCACGCGCTGGAAAAATATATTGTGCGTGGGTAGATTGCAACGCCCACTTGTGTGTTTATTGACCAATTAACGAGCTGATATTTCCTGAAAATATTTACTAAGCTGAGAATGCTCTTGAGATCCGATTCTCCCAAAAGTGCACAAAATCGACATGAAAATAGAGCGATTACAAAATTGTCGCATTGCTGCGATTTTTAAATTGTCTACAAAGAAGTGTTGATTTATTACTAATGAATTCTTGTTGTTGTATAATTTGAATTTGTGTAAGTATGTATGTATGTGATGATGGTCACAAGAATTCATGACAATTCGTAGATATCCCCCACCCCCACAAAAAAGTTGCAGAGAGTCATAACCACTTACGCCTGGAAAGGATATTGTTTTAAAAAATAAAAATCATTGAAACATAATGAATATGTAACTATAATGTGTTACGGATAGCAAACATTTTATTAAGTGTATATGTGGCTCAAAAAAGCAAGTTTTTAAACAACTCCTACGAACCCTAAATTAATGTGGGGATCCGTTTATTAACCATGTCCCCAAACAAAATTCTGTAGAAAATGTCGACTAATTCAAGTCTTGAAAAAAGATGATATATAAAAGTAAAGATACGAAATTATTTTTAAATACTTTATGTTATAAAACATAAAAGCTAACAACCAAATGAAATAATAATGCTAATAATAATGCATATACTTTTTTTTATCGTACACTTAGTGTATTTCATTTCTCGAATGAATTCGATCACCTTGCTTGACAAGAACATGGAACTTGAAGAACTTCCTGATTTGACCACCGTCACAGTGAACTTCATAACAATAAGAAAACTACTCTGGAAATTGTGTGTGTGTAATTATAATGTATGTAATTCTTAATTTAATTATCTCATTAAGTAAAGTATAATTGTAAAATAAATGTTTAAAAAAATAAATCGCCATCTATGAGATGGTGTTTAACTGGTTATCTCCCCCTGAATACTTTCCGCGGGTAACTACAAACATGGCGGGAGACGAAGATATGGACGTTGATGTATCAGAAGCATCCACATCTCATACAAAAAAAAGTAATTACGAGTTGCCTTGGTAAGTAAAGTTGTTTTTTTTTTTTTTTGGCATTTACTATTATACTGTGATCAACCTGAAATTATTTTATTTTCTACTTTATTTGTGTTCTGCATAGAAAAAATATAGTGAAAAATCTAACGGCTAACTTCCTTTTGTTTTGTTTTTTGTATCATTTTTTTTAAATTCCCTGAGTATGTTGTTAAAAAGAATTACACTTTTAACTTTTTTTTTATTGTACGGATATAAAATGAAAGTCATTCCTAGTAAAAAGAAATGAAACAATGATAATTTGAAAAGTTACTTATTGATTTTCCCCATATCACCCAATTCAAAATTGTTTCTACTTTTTAATTTACTGTTTTAGACGATTGATTACATTTTTCAACAGTCTTGTTAGTAAGTAGTAATAATAATATTCTGATCGGTCTATGTGTACAATCATTTTTCAAAATTAGAACTCGGTAGATGCAACGAGCAAGTGAAGAAGTGAAATAACTTGTTGAAACCACAATTAAGTTTAAAGAAAAGGTTTTTATTTTATTAAATATGATTTATGTTTTGAAATATTTTATTACTTTACTAACTGTAACTACTACTAGAATGTATAATTTAACAACAGCAACAACAAAGCTTTTGTTTACGGTGCACGTTTACGATTTAAAAATGTTTATCGTGTTAAAAGATTTATACCACTCACTGGTTTACTAGTCCCCTACTCTAAATATAATTTTTTTAACTAGCTTTATATTCTGAGCCCTCTTTTTCTTTTAGCTTTAAATTTGAAAAGTCTTGCATCACAGATAACAAAAAAATAAAAATAGTCCGAATAACTTATTTCAGCTATTTTTTCCGTGAGCTATTAAGTTTACAAATGAATTACAGGAAAAAAAAATGTCGTTGTTTTTCCTTATTTGCTTCATATATAGGATTTTAAAAAAAATTGGCTCCTGCAACTTTGGTTTTGTCGCTTTACGCTAATTTTCGCATTATCAACTCGTATCACGGAACTGGAAAAATTATATAAGGGAGGTAAATCAGTGTTTGATGAAAAAAAATTGTAAAGCTAAACAACATTCGATGATAATCGTTCATTCCAATAAATTGATTCTAAAAAGCTTAAAAAGAAAAGAAAACAATTTATTTGTTTCATTTACTTGCAGTTGTTTGAACTTAAAACGAAGACAATTATATTTTTATATTATCCAATGATTCTTTCAGCTCAGTTTCCTCATCTTTTTTATATTTGCACCTGATTTGGTAACCTACCTGAAATTTCGACCAGAACCCTTTATTGGATCAACAGAATGGTTGTGTTCTCATTTCTTAGCTGTCACATAAGCTCTTGAAGATAATTTTTTTTTTTTTTTTTTTATAGAAGCATCATTACCAAAGAAAACCTCTTGTGAAAATAGTTGAACTCTGCATATAATACACATTAACATCATTAGAAAACGCTAGTAAAACTCTGCAAATTCTACAAATACTGATCCATATCAAAATATTAAGTTTCATATTACAAATAAAATATTTAGCCTAGTGCTTCTCCCCACAATGGAGCAGCTGTTACATCTTCAGTGAAGTTGTCTGAAAAAGTTTTCAGATGTGCTCCAATCCTCATCTACAGAGAGGATTGAGCAGGTACACTGGAGTCGTGCAATTTGTGGGTACAAATCCTTCACATGGCAGAGTACACCATCTGTGAAGATAGACCATGAACTGCTGATTCCAAGCAGTCCTGGGTATGACACTAAACTATGTTTAGCAGCAAGGCCTCTAATCAGGAGATTGAAGGTTTTCAGGAGCATGGAATCACCTCTTAATTGCTGTTGTTCTCAAAGCCACCCTGACCCGGGGTGGTAGTACCTATTAGGGTCTCAGCTATGAGCAAATAGTAAACCCTGAAACAAAACACTATGAAAGTATAAAAATACATTTTTATAATGAAATTATTGGCTATGCATTTTTATATAAAAAAAATTACCAACAATATATTTTATCTGTAGTTAAAGGCATTCAGTTGCATTCAAAATATTTAGATTTTGGCATAGAGGTTGATATGCCACTAAACAAAATCAACCAAAAAAATGGATTCCAGTGACATGGCTCTTCTTAAATTTTGATTTGCATCTGCCCTGTGGATTTTTCACCTAAATAAAGTTTCCTAATCTGTACATTCCTGACAGTTTCAGTCAGAGATATGATACCAATCCTCTTCAGCTGGATTCTATAGGTTTATACTATGTTTTTACTATTGCAACCAAGGTTGATGTACTGTTTTTTGATGTAGTAGGATACCAGTATATTTCCTCCATTATTGTGCACTGCTTTCTTGCTGCAGTCCTTTTTACAATTCTGTGGTTTGAACCATTGCATTTATAGCAAACAATGCTAGAGTACAAGTCCATGATAGAGGAAGTGTCAAAAACGTTTTTGGTTGGTTGTGTGACTGCTTTCAGCTTGACTTCATTGTCGTCCAGGCTTGAGACAACACCTGGTCGAGTGATGGTGCATCTATTCTGGAGTTATGCTTGCAGAAGCTGCTTCAAGTGGCCTGGAAGTCCAGCTATAAAAGCACACGTCAATCCACATTTGGGTATTCCTTTGAAGATCAATTCCAGCTTCTGCAACTCTGCCAAGTGGACATCGATTGTCTTGTCTGGGTGCTGTGCTAGAAAGGAGTTTGCTGCAAATGCAGTAAACAATCCATTCTTAATCTGATTCACGTAAGATTTTTCTTCTTGGCATTAACATCTGATAAATGCTTCTCCCATCAGTGAAAAGGGCAAGATTGGTTTGACCTGCTTCACTTCACAAATGTCTCATATCAGCTGTGTTTTATTTTTTTTTCTCCACCCATTCTACCACTGTCATCATCAGGTTTATGTTGAAATTTCTGGCCAAAATAGCTTGTTCCTGTGAGTGAGTCAATTCTGCAACAGAGACTTCAAAATGGATTCACTACTAAGGGAAGAAGATTAATTCAATCTAAGACTGTAAATTGTCAAACACATTTTTTCTCTGTAGTTCATAACCACTTCCAAGTTTCTCTCAATTGCTGCTGGCAGCAAAACTTTTCAAGTGAGTCTTTAAATACACATCAAACTCAAGAATCAGCTGGTCACCTCTAAGTGTTGACTTCAATGTTCACTTTATTTTGGTTATATGTTGATCTATATGTTCACAAATTGAACTAAATTTAGACAAATAGGTCAATCTACAAGAGAGTGGTGCATTGCGGCCGATCTAAGAATTTAATGTTTGTTCGTTATCAGTATTAGATACACTCTCCCATGTCTCACTGAGAACAAACTAGGTAATGTATTTATTTCAATATGAGGAATCTCTAGCTTATCAAAAGCCTCAACCCTAAGAAATTCACTGGCCCAGACAAAACTCCAGTGGTTACCCTTAAGAATTATCCCCAATCCATGTGAATTTATTCAACTGCTGCTTGAAGGAGAAATCCTTCCCAAAGAAAGAGGCAAGTGTATGCTCGGACTTCAAGAATCTGGGCATGTGATCATCCCTCTCCCAGTATAGGCCTATCAGTCTCCTCAGTAATCTTTTCTTGACTTTAATCAACAAAAAGGTCATTGAGCACCTAGATAGGAACAACCTACTGTGCGATGAGGAGTATGTGTTTTGATCGACCTGATCCACTGCTGATGTCCTAACTACCATTATACACTGACTTAGTGAGGATCTTGATGATGCACGCACCTTGAGGACCATAGCATTAGATATCTCAAAAGTCTTTGACAAGGTGTGCTACAAAGGTTTGCTACACAAGCTCCCTACCTATGGAACCACTGGAAGGGTTTTCTCAATTATAAGATCCTCCCTAACAGAAGGTAGTTATTAATGACCAGTCCTCTAAGGTTGTCAGTGCAGGTGTCCCCCAAGGGTCATTTCTCGGACCAACCCTCTTTCTGATTTACACAAATGATCTGCCTAAGAATATACTCTGATCATTTGTAGACATCTATGCCAAAGATAAGGCTATATACGGGCACACCACTAAAATTCTTGGTCAGTGATTGGCAGATGACCTCCCTTCTGATCTAGAACTAACTTCCCAGTGGGGAGAAAACTGGCTGGTTACATTCGATGCCTCAAAAACCAGACTAGTTACATTCCATCAATGCTGATCAAACCTCTAATTACTGCCAGTCACAGTGAATGGATGTCCTGTTGAAGAGGCCCCCATACCTTGAGAAAATATTGAGCCTCAAACTCAAACACGGCCTCAAGTGGAACTGTTATATATGATACATAGATAACAATACAGGTAAATTGATCAGCTTCCTGTGCCACTCCATTAAGTGCCTGACTCTGCATACTGTCTTCTAGGCTGAAAATGAAGTACTGTTGTCATATTTGGGCGGGAACTACCGAGTTCTCACTTTCCTGTCTTAATAGAGTTCAATAGCATCTTCAAATCCTTGTAGTGACAAATTATTTTCTACCTTCCAACCTCCAGGTGAGATGTGGTGATCCTCTGACTGCTCTATCTCTACTTTCCATGGAAAGTGCTCAGATGAACTACATTTCTTGGTTCTGGCAGGTCTCACCTTCACGGCTAGGATCTGCCATGCAACCCACATTCCCTCCTTATTCTTTTAGCAAGAATTAAATTCCACTTGAACAGCTTCTTCCTGCAATCCACTGCTTTGTGGAACTCCCAAGATTTTAACAAGAAAAAAATAAAATTAATTTTTTATAGCTTTATTAAGATTTTGAATAAAACCATTACAATATATTGTATTGTAATGTATTAATAAAAATAATATAACAATACCATGCAGTAACGTCTATGTACAAGAACAGGTTTCTATGTAATGTAATAAGACAAATTTTACGAAATTGATACAAAACATTTTTAATGAATTTGCATGTACATAAAATGGCTCTTCTCTACAGATTATATAAATTATTTGGAAAAGCACATTGATATTAAAGCAAATCCTGTTGAGTAAATATGTAAAAAAAATTTTAGGTTAGGATAAAGGTTGTAAGCTGCATATTTCACACTCAAAATGTCCGTGAAGTGCTAATCCAAACCACTACACAATTGTGAGTGTGAAATGCCAAAGCCTAAACAATAGTAGATGCCTGGGAAAATACGGATATACTGAAGGTATTAAAACTCAATGAATTTATTAAAATAAAAGATTATAAAGAAAAAAATCAGACTTTAAAAAGTGTCACAATGGTTTGAATTTGTTTCAAATTGGGATCCTCTGATGATTATGATTCTAATATGGATATGACAAAAAAATTTTGTGTCCATTGCACATGTGCAGCTTAAGCGACATTGTGGTTTATTGGGGTGCGGCTTAATGGCACTGACCTCTAATATTAATATAAGACAAATTTTAATAGATAACTCTAAAATATTATGTAAGATACAAAGAAATACTTGAAATTCTAGGGGCTATTGTAATACTGAAATTCCCTCTGATGTAATATATATGATTTATGAGAAAAATTATTTTACGAACTTTGGAGGATGGTTTCTTACACCAAAACAAAGTAAAATGTCCATATAAACATATGTCCAAAAGGCCATTGTTGTAGCTCAACACAGCAACTCATAACAAATGTTCACTGCTTGCTTCTATACACGCATGTGCCTGTTTGATCATTGACTAGCGGACCCTTTCAAATCCTCCCACATGGTGTTGAATGGTTTTGCAGCCCCCCGACATGTTGATGAACGGTCTCTGCATTATTAATGTCTGCTGCATAAACCAATAGTTTTAAGTGGCTCCACACAAAAATTCAAAGAATTGAGGTCAGGGGAATGTGCAGGCCATGGAACTGGTCCCCCCCCTGTCTTTCCATCTTTTATGGTAGATGTCAGCCAGTGAATCACAAATAATGTAGTTAAAATGTGCCGGAGCCCCATTATGCATGAACCACATGCATCTTTGTATTAGCAAATGTACATCCTCTAGCAGATCTGGAAGTGTGTTAGAAATAAAGTCTCCACAGACAGCTCCCATAAGACGTGCTGGGAGAATATATGGACCTACCAGAGAATCACCTACAATTCCAACCCCAACATTAATCATAAACTGATGCTGGTGTCTTGCTCGTATTATACCATGATGATTCTGCCCACAAATGTTGGTTGTATAAATTTGTTATTCATCTGGATTTAAATAACCTGAAAGTGGTTGATAAGCTGTAAAAAAAAAAAACTAAAAAAACAAATCAATCTAAAAAAAAAACAATTTGTGATATCCTGTGTTGTGTGGCCAAGATTAGTTTTAATCCGTATTTTGATTTGATCATTGACAACTTCAAGCCTGCTCAAATGTTCTTGGTCTTTCAGATCAAAATTTCTGAACTTAACTTAAACCATTTTCAAACAGTACCATATATATCATTTTCCACTTCCTTGTATATAAATAAGTGATTTTTCTTGAATTTGCAGGGTGGAGAAATATAGACCCATCTTGATGAAAGATGTTGTGGGTAATGCAGAAACAGTTAGTCGTTTGGATGTGTTTGCCAAAGAAGGAAATGTTCCTAATCTGATTATAGCGGTAAGCCTTTTTTTTTTTCTTTTTTTTTTTTTATTGCTGATATACCTTGATGAGTTATGGGTTAAATCCATGACTTGTTATGTCTTCTCTGGTTAATGTTCTCAGGTGGCATGAAGTGGAAAGACTATATTGAATCCATTGTTAGGTCAGCTGCTAAGAAAGTTGGGTCACTGTCTCGTGCTTGATAATTTTTCTCTCCAAAGTCTATCTTGCATTTCTCGAAGTTTACCATTTGTCCATGCTTAGAATATTGCTGCCACATATGATCTGGTGCATCTGCTATTTATCTAGAGCTCCTTAATAAAATCTAAAGAAGAATCAGCAATATTCAGCTGATCTATTCTTGGCCCTGATTTTGGCTCCAGTCACTTTCCCATCATGATAAGGTTGCTTCCCTCTGCCTTTTTCTATAAGTACTTTCATTGTAATTGTTCAGATGAGCTCTTCACTATGGCACCTAGACTTTTTGAATTTAAGCGTAGTACTAGACTGGTGTCGAGATCTCATCAATTTACGATCGAGCTAGTTAGATGTAACTGTAAAATTTATGCTAACAGTTTCTTTCTCATGCACGAAACTCCTTTCCAGCTCTGTGCTTTCCAGTCAACTTTAATCTTCAAAAATTTAAATGCAATGTCAATCACTATCTACTCTCCTCCTGATTACTCTTCTTTTGTTCTCACTCATTAATAATGTTTTTGTTTCTAACTCTTCCACACTCTGTAACCACTTGTGTCTTAGGGTGAACTCAATTTAAAAACAAATAAAAAAAATTCTTGCAATCTAAAAATATTTTCTAGCTTTAAATAACCTGCAGATGTGTTGATAAACCGTAAAAAATGTATCAGTTGATCAAAAAAGAATCATCTGGAATTATCATGGCAGTGGGAAATTTTTTTTTTTTAATTTATAAAATACATGGGAACTGAGAGTGCATATTTTGGCAGGTTGGATGATTCCTTGAACACTGCAGAGAAGATTATTTGAAAAATTTGTGTTGTACCAAATAAGCACTGTGCTGGGCAAGGGGTAGGTGAAAGAAATTATTTAATCACACTGACACTTATCTTTGGTAAACAAAAGAACATACTATACTTAGGCTAAACCAAAAAATAACAATAAAATACTACACATCACCATCATGAGTCCCATTAACTCCATTAGGGTCTAAGGGGCACCATGCCTACAGCAGCCATAGCAGTAGTTGTTTCATGGGCAAAACAGCCTGACAGAGCCCAACCCTCTCTGGGTTGATTTGAATTAAGTTTTCCTTCTCCTAGACTGGTTGCCAGCCAAAGCTAGATCTATTCTATTTACCCAGGAGGAAAAGATGGATTCATACCTTTCTTGGGGGTATTAGTAAGTGAATGTAATGAACTTGACTTGAATTCAAACTCAGCTCACTGATTCCTCAATACGGGCCACTATCCATTACTCCACCTTGTCTCACATATGCCATTAATATATCTTCTTTGTAAATATCCCAATATTTAGTTCCTATTCACCAAATTGTTGCTATTTGACTACTTTGTATTAAACTTAGAAAATTAATGATAGTTACCATGTTTTTGTTCTATAACTTTTCAGTGTTGAGAGTCCTTTAATGTGTATTTTTTAGTCCTTTAGTGTGTATTTCTTTGTTTCATCTAGGGACCCCCAGGAACTGGGAAGACGACAAGCATTCTGTGTCTGGCAAGAGAACTTCTTGGACCTTCATTTAAAGATGCTGTCCTTGAACTTAATGCTTCAAATGATAGGTGAATATACTGCATGCGACATTATTTCTTTAAATGTTATATTTAGTGTGTACATATGTTTGAGAAGACCTCCCTCTTTTTCTATTCTTTTTTTTCTTTTTGAACAGTTAATGTCTACTGACGTAGGGATTGAGATACATACTAATGAAAACGTGTCTCCCCATTGGAATTAAATATGTATTCCTTTTTTTTTTTCTATCAGGGAAACCACTTGTAAGATAAGGTTTGCCTATTTCCTGGTTCACACTCTTTCCTCTGTCTTTTAAACCAGAGTAAAAGTTTATCACTTGTTTCTTGTTTAAGATTGGGTTTCAAGTTCCTTCTAAATTCATCTCATTGTCTTCTTTCACTAACATAATCCCTTGCATCTTAGTGGCATTATTACTTTGCTTGGGATAAAATGATTAAAAAAAAAAAAAAGTTTACCAATAAGCCATGGGGAGCCATTATAGTAAAAAGCAAAGTTTAGTTACCTCATTTAACAAATGCACACCTTATTTTGTACCTTTTAAAGTCTACATCTCTTGATTTTGTTTTCATAGGCAAAATGATGACAGTTATTTTTGAAGCTTACAATATTTCTTATTGTAGTTTTTATGCAACAGTATTTTTACTACTATAAACATATTTAATGGGTATACATTACTTATTTCAGTAAATGTCTTTTTTTTTCTTTTAACTTTGTTTTTTCTTTTTCTCTTTTTTCTTTTTCTCTTTTTTCTTTTTCTCTTTTTTCTTTTTCTTTTTTTTTTTCTCTTTTTTCTTTTTTCTTTTTTTCTTTTCTCTTTTTTCTTTTTCTCTTTTTTCTTTTTCTCTCTTCTCCTCTTCTCTTTCTCCTCTTTTTCTCTTTCTTCTCTTTCTTTTTCTCTTCTCTTTCTTTTTCTCTTTTTCTCTTCTCTTTCTTTTTCTCTTCTCTTTCTTTTTCTCTTCTTTTTTTTTCTCTTTTTCTCTTCTCTTTCTTTTTCTTCTCTTTCTCTTCTCTTTCTTCTCTTTCTCTTCTCTTTCTTTTTCTTCTCTTTCTCTTTCTTTTTCTTCTCTTTCTCTTCTCTTTCTTTTTCTTCTCTTTCTCTTCTCTTTCTTTTTCTTCTCTTTCTCTTCTCTTTCTTTTCTTCTCTTTCTCTTCTCTTTCGCTTTTTCTTCTCTTTCTCTTCTCTTTCGCTTTTTCTTCTCTTTCTCTTCTCTTTCGCTTTTTCTTCTCTTTTTCTTCTCTTTCGCTTTTTCTTCTCTTTTTCTTCTCTTTCGCTTTTTCTTCTCTTTTTCTTCTCTTTCTCTTCTTTTCTTTTTCTTCTCTTTCTCTTCTCTTTCTTTTTCTTCTCTTTCTCTTTCTTTCTTTTTGTTGTTTCTGATTTTGTTGTCCTCTACTTTGGCCTTTGACTTCAGCCCAGAAAGCTGTCATGTCATTGCATACAAGAATGATTATTGATTACAGTTTACCTCATTGTGCTAGATGCTCGCTAACCCTACAAGAGAATTCATCCATCCTTTGATAGGTCTTGTTGAGTGTCTAGCCACCTTCCTTATCAGAAAAGCCTAGTGTGGATATCGGTTTAGTCACTGACGACCCGACTATGCAACATGTACTAATGGGTTACATGGTATCAATAACAATCGTAGAGTGACCTGACATGAAGTTTGTGTGAAATATTTTTAAAATGGTAATTACTCTTAGAGTTTTTTTAGAATATCAACTCAATCAGCAAAGAAACAAAAATATTCAAATAAATGTAGTTGCCATCAAGTTTATCTCGAAATGAGTGAAAAAACTGCCTTGGTAAAAAAAAAAAAATGGGAGTGATAAAGCATGATGTAGCTGATATTCTGAACCACTGGCATACAGGAATTCCTCTATGAAGTGCATTATGGATCTGTTTTTGAATTATTGTACTGGATCATTTTTGATGCAAAACACAATAGAAATTCTCTCTTTTTGCATTGTATTTCGTATGTATTATTACTTTTTTGTTCTTTTTCTTGGCTTTCTGTCACACTAAAGGAAATGAAGTGTTTTAATGGGTACTACAACCACACAATGGGCTCTACTGTGCTTGTGTGTTTGCTGCAGTACTGTATATTAAAATTATTAAAAAAAAATAATTTGTAAAGTTGTAGAAAATCTGTACAAAAATAAATTTTATTCAATGTTTTCTATGTTTTTTATCTGAATTTCTGGAATTAAATTATCATTATTTACATTTGGGCTAGTGTTCTCATCTTTGTCATTGTCACATTTTGGATGTTTTTGCCATCTTCAGGTGTTTGTCAATCCTGATAACCTTTAGGGGAATTTGAATTGATCCCTTTATTTAATCTAGGGGCAGGTAAATGGATAAATCGTTTTTGTTCATCTGTCCGTGTCTAGGGATATCCCTATACGTAAGCACTAAAAATAAATAAAGGTTTCAGTTTAAAATTCACAAATCAACAGACAACACCTGAAGAAGGCTGAAGGGCAAAAGTTGAAACATGATAATAATAACAAAGATGAGGACTATAGTCTGAATGTAATATGCTACATTTTTTAAATTTTTTTTTTTTAGTCATTTCACACCAAGCAAGGCAATAATTCCACTAAAACACAAGGTGTTATTGGAAGTGAAAGAGAATTAAAAAACTTCAAATAGAAACAGAAACCCAATCCTAAACAGGAAACAAAAAATCAGCCTCTACTCCTGTTCAAAAGCCCAGGGAAGTGTGCGAACCAGACATTATTTAGAAAATAGAGTTATATAATTTATCCATATGTAATTTTGTTTTTTTAATGGGTACTAAGCTAATTAGTATATAAAGTTGTTGAATTAGAATTAGTCAATTGAAATTTTTGTGCTGAAATTATTGTATATTAATGCTGAATATACAGTCATGATTTTGTTGTGCATCTGCCACTGTTTTAATAATTTTTGTCAGTGCCTTATGCAACATTTGTTTTTTTACTTTTCTTTACAAGAGGTATTGATGTGGTTCGCAACAAGATTAAAATGTTTGCCCAGCAAAAAGTGACGCTTCCAAAAGGAAGACATAAAATAATCATTCTAGATGAAGCTGATAGGTAAGTACAGTTTTTTGTTATAAATATACTTCTTTATATTGACCAACCTGTAGTGTATATAAAGCCCTTTGAACTCTCTCTTAACAGATTGACTTCACTGTTGCAAGTAGCCTTACTCTCCCTCAAATAACACTTCTATCTTTATATGATACATCAAGTGTGTTTTTGGGGGGTTTTTTGTTCATGTAATGTCTAACATTTTTTTAGAACTAGTAATCTCCTTTGCACTAGTAATCTCCTTTGCACTATTAATCCCAGGTAGCAGTGTCTTCAGGAAAATGGCAGACTGTTTCAAGATGTTGACTACATCAGGAGGTGAAAAACTATTTAAAAAACAAACATAAAAATAATTGGAATAAATATATTTAAAGAATGACATATAAAAACCTTTAAGTAATTTATGGTAGGGTGGATACAAAATGTTATTGTGGCTTTCAAAACAGATTTTAAAAAGTGCATATCCACGGCGATATAAACATATATTAAAACAAGTGGAAGAAAACAATGAAAATAATTATTTACTGTAAAATGTGAATTTTTTTTTTTTTTTTACTCTGCATTTTATGGTAAATATTTTTTTCTTTGCTTTTCCACTTGTTTTAATTCATTTTGTGTGTTTGTGTTCACGCATACAAACATACATACACACACACTATATACATATATATATATATATATATATACACACACTTTTTAAAATCCGTTTTTAAAGCCATAAAAAAACTTGATACTAAAAAGGTCTTTTAAATATGAGTAAACTAACTCTATAGTGATATAGCATTAAATGCCAATAAAGTAGGAATGTACTTATCACAAATTCATTGAGAATTTAATTCAAATGGCCAGTTCTGTTCTGTGGAAATAAGTCCACGTTAAAATAAAACAACATACCTACAGAAATGTTGACTTTATACTTTAAACCACATGATGCACAAACATTATATATTAGCACTAACCGATTTTGTTTGAATTTTCAGTATGACAGATGGTGCCCAGCAGGCTCTTCGGCGTACCATGGAAATCCATTCCAAGACTACAAGATTTGCTCTGGCTTGTAATGCTTCAGACAAAATCATTGGTAGGCATCTCCTTTTAACCAACAATACATTTTATCTGTAGTTGATGGCATACAATTGTGTTCTAAATATATTGAAGCCATAAAATTGTGTTCAAAATATTTCAGTTAAATTTCTGCATTAAATGACCCTTAAGGAGTTGATATACCATTAAACAAATCAGTCAACCTATATACCAGTATTTTTTGTTTTTCATCATTTGCTAGTTTGTTGCAAACACTGATATCAAACTTGTAATTTATATGAAATATTTACTTTTCAAATAAAACTTTAAAATATTTTTGTTTGGCTTTCTTTGGTGCGACTGTTTTTAGTTAGCTTTTCTTGAATCTTGCTTTTGTTACTGTTTATTGAAAGGCTTTGGTCTTTCTTTTTTTACCATTCCATGATCCTTGCTTAATGGTCTTAGAATATAAAAATGAGCTAAGCGTTGAGATGAGAAACAGTGAAAATAACATGAAAGAAAAAAAACCTAGTCAGAAATGAATAATTTTCTCCAATTGTTAGCACCTTTTTATGTTAAGTCTTAGTTTTGTCTGTTTTCTTTTAATACATTAACATTTGTTCTTTTCTGTATTCATCAGAACCAATTCAGTCTCGGTGTGCTGTTCTGCGCTATTCTCGACTGACAGATGCTCAAGTTCTTGCTCGACTTCTTGAAATTTGTAAAAAGGAAACTGTCAGCTACACAAATGATGGCTTGGAGGCTATCATCTTCACTGCCCAAGGTGATATGCGTCAGGTAAGATTGGTTATAGGTGTGCAGGTGATGTAGCAACCAACAATACAGAAAATGAAATTTGTGAGCCAAATTCGTGTTGTGACTGTTGGGTTCATTTTACATTAATGCCCTTGTGAAAGGCATGACTCCTTATCTCCCTAGTTATAGTTTAAAATTGGCTGACTGGGCTCTGCAGCAACCATTCTAGGAGAAAGATAAACATTGAATCAAAAACTGGGAAATACTGCTATCTTTCTCAAGAGCACTCATAAAAATTCAGTTATTAAATAATAGGAAGCTGTGGAGGGCCGTAATTACCACAGTCCTGAAAAAACATGACATCTATCCAGCAGCAAGGCCTGTGATCAGGAGATTGGAGATTTTGAGGAGCACCTTTTAATTGCTGTTGTTCCCAGGTTCAGGGTGGTAGCACCTGTTAGGGTCCCAGCTATGGGTCAATAGTGAATCCCCAAACAAAAACAAAATGCTATGAAAGTATAAAAATGTATATTTATAGCAAAATGACCAGCAATACAGTTTATCTGTAGTTGAAGACATCCAATTGTGTTTAAAATATTTAGATTTTGACATTAAATAACACATAGAGGTTGATATGTGCCAAACAAAATCAGCCAAACTAAACATGACATCTAAAAATAGATAGATATTATTTTGATGTCTTAAATGTTTTATCTATTTTTTGTGAAAGAATAGTTTTCATTAAATGGTGTTTAAGCCATGTAGTGATAAAAATATTTCTATTTTGGTTCTCATTTCAAGATAGGTATGTCCATTAGGTCACGTAAAAAATCGGCATATCACGATTAAAAATGACTCGTATATCAACGAAAACAAAGTTTTGTTTATGTTATGTTTATGTTGTTATGAAGAGGAAAGACCAAAGTATTTTTTAAATATTTTTTGAAATTTTTTACTCCTTTCTAGCACAGAGAAAATTTTGCTTAAAAATTATGTTTTTTTTTTTATGACAGCGTAAACAACTAAAAAAAAGGTTTGTTTTTTGTTTGCGCTTTTCCCGCTAGAAAAAACACACGTTAATTAGGAAATTCTTGCAAAATGAAATAATTGTTGGATTTTTAATGAAATTTTCAGGACTTATTCAGAAATGAATGAAATTATTTTGGAAATTTTTTTTTCAGAAAATCTTGTTAAAAAAGAGATTTTTTTTTTTTTAAACATGTTTCCACCCACTTACATATTTTCAAGAAAAATTAAATACACGTCCCAGGATTTTTTTTTTTATTAGTTATAAACAGGAATGTTTGTAGAAAGTAAATCACCAGTTTTTTTTTGTAAAACATTTACTTTTTTATAGAAAATCAAATTTGAATTATAAAAAAAAAAAATGTAAAAAAAAGTATGACATTTAATTAATTAGAAAAGCTTACACCTGTTTTTGTAGATACGTTATACTAAGGACATTATTTTGTGAAGAAATAAAATTTTTTTGATGAATAATGTATTTTTTGCCAATTTTTTTTTTTACATTTTAAAATTTTTTTCATTAACGTCTTAAATACTTCAAAATCTTTTAAAATTCTTTATTTCTTTCACCCAAATAATGCAATGATAACGTTAATGAAAATGTAAATTTACAAATCGAACTTTGAAAAGCACATAACAAAAATATTTTTTAAAATTACAAAAAAAATTTTTAAAAAACGTTCATGATTTTAAAATAAATTTTTATTGAAAAATTTCGTTCATGATTTCTATGTTTGGAAATGTATAAAAAAAGTTTAAATAATCCTTAAAAAAAAAAAAAGTTTTTTTATTTCTGATTTGTTTAAAGAATTATCTAAATAATAAAAAAAAAAAGTTTAAAGAATTTCTAAATAATAAAAAAAGTTTAAAGAATTATCTAAATAATAAAAAAAAAAAATTTAAAGATATCAAATAATAAAAAAAAAAAGTTTAAAGAATTATCTAAATAATAAAAAAAGTTTAAAGAATTATCTAAATAAAAAAAAAAGTTTAAAGAATTATCTAAATAATAAAAAAAAAGAATTATCTAAATAATAAAAAAAAAAGTTTAAAGAATTATCTAAATAATAAAAAAAAAAAGTTTAAAGAATTATCTAAATAATAAAAAAAAAGTTTAAAGAATTATCTAAATAATAAAAAAAAAAGAATTTTAAAAATTAAAAAAGTTTAAATTAAAATAAAAAAAAAAGTTTAAAGAATTATATAAATAATAAAAAAAGTTTAAAGAATTATCTAAATAATAAAAAAAATGTTTAAAGAATTATCTAATTTTATTGCCATTATTATAAATAGTTTTCTCCCTTTATTCTAATAAAACTAAAAGCGTTCACTCAGATTTCTAATAATTTTCATTTGTGGTCATCCGTAGTAGCTGTCGTCACTCAACACGTAGATCAAATATTGGATAAAAACACCAGTACCAATCGTTAATAATTGGTTGTATACTACTTTTTTATGCTAGAAGTAAGTAATAATTCTTTTAAATCAGATTAATTTAACATTAAATTTTCTAATTTTACTAAAATAACGTGTCAGAAACTTTTGTTAAATATTTTAAAATCGATAAATTTGTGTTTGTCTACAAATTTCTTAAAATTAAGAAAATGGCGGGATTTTTAAGAAAACTTAAAATTCCAAAACTAAATTTGACATTCCAATGTATATAGTTTCTATCTGAAATACACTAGAATTACTTAATGGAAATAATAAATTTAATGATTAAACTTTCAATTAAAGCTAAAATAAAATCTTAAAGCATGTTTTTTCATTTTTTAAAATTTATTTTAAAGTTAGGTATCGAAAATTTTGCCGAAAAAAAGTGGAGGTACCTATTTTAAGATCTTCACTGCAAAACTATTGTGTAACACCATGATGCTCGAATTTATTTTAATGAAACTTTCTTCATACACTGATTTACCTGGGCTAGTGTCCAAGTCACTCAGGTTATAGTCGCATCATTTCAGTCATTTGTATCCTCTTATGTTTGTCATCATTGGTAACCTGAGAAATTTGAACCAACCCATTTATTCAATACACAGTTCTGCTTTATTCTACTCTCTGTTAATTGAATAAAGGGTTTGATTTAAAGTGCTCAGAAATGTACCAACTATGATATCTGAAGAAAGCCAGAGACTACAACAGCTGAAATGTAGTGACTATGACAGCCGACATAAAGACACTAGTCTGAATTATGCACTATATTTAAGTAAATATTTAGTATAGAACAAGATAATGATCCAATTTCTGTATCTTTGTAGCAGCAAAAATGATACATCATAGCACAATTCTATTAAAATGTCCTAATGGAAAATAAGCCTTTTTTTTTTTTTTTTTTTTTTTTTCAGTTTCAAAGTAATTTTTAAGTACATATTAAAAAAAAAATCTATGATCACTAGATAAATTCAGGTCTACTAACTGATAATTACAAAATCATTTAATGAGAATAAGCAGTCCAACCCTTACCTCACAGTCGGTGGGGGGGGTGTAAACGGTAGTGTCAGAGCTATGCCGCCCGGAACTTCGTTCCTGGTAGGGCCACCCAAGACGGACAGGTCTGACACGCACGCCGGCTAACAAGGGCTCAGGTGAAAATCCAAGGAGCGTCTGCATCGGTAACCGGCGGCTTCTGGTCGTTCCTGTCTCTGCGTCTGTGGGAACCCCGCGGCAAGCAAGAACGTTATCCGAGTAGGCCTGAGTACCCTACTTCTGTAATTTATCCCAAGAATCTTCTTCTCATAACAGGAAGAAGCCGGCTCAATCCGCCCAGGGTGAATGCCGCATCAGTACAGTAGTACAGTAGTAATAAGCAGGGTGGCATCATTGACTCTTGTTAGCAACATTCCAGTGAAAATCATCAACCCATATAACACTTATCAATGTGTATTTATACATTTCCTGTTCACTCTGTAGTAAGAAGGGAGATAACTCATGTTAGTAAATTTTAATTGTTTACTTCCCTTAGTCATTGTAATAATCTATACAAATAAAATATTTAGCTGCATTTAGACAAAATTATTACCAGAGCAAAATGAACCATTTAATTAATCAGTCCCTTTACTCCTATTTCTTAGGTTGCAGTCATATCTGTTCGAGCCTTTCATGTGAGACACTCAGAGACTTTTGTCTATTAAGTAATCGTCTTGCTTCAACTTTGTCGTGAAATAAGCTTTGTTGTTACCATCTTTGTCGTTTTGTTGCTAATCTTTTTCTACCGAAAGTTATTTCCATTTCATTGTTATACTAAACATAAAATTTTTAACATGCAAAGATAGTGAGCAAAAAGTGATTTATATAATACCAGGAGTAATCAATGAATCTTTGATACCATTGAACATCTAAAAAATATAAAGGGAAGGAATTAATTAAATGGTTCATTGGCGTCTATTTTAATTGTGAATTCTTTGTCTCTGCTTTATTGTGTCATTCTTTCGTTTTATTGCATCTCACTATTAAAACTTTCTAACAATTGCTGTTATTTTTTAAGACACTGGTACACTAGTATTATTATAAACATCTTAGATTGTCGACAGAATTTTATTAACTATCTACAATTGTTAGCACCTGATTCAGCCATGTTGATAAAGAGATTACAACCGTGCCAAAAATGGACTATGATAGAATAGGGATCTTCTAAAATATTATCATGACATCATAACCTGTTTGATCTCTGAATATCAGGATAAGTATTTACTGAAACTGTCTGGCATAAGGCCACAATCTTGAAGCATTTTGATAATAATACTCGCTACATTATTAATGGTCTGCAAGCTTGCAAAACATTGCTCTATGGCAAGGACCTCTTTTTATACTAAACTTGGTTTATTTTGGAATAAAGTCACAAATGTGAGGTACCCAGTGATCATCAAATTCACTGTCATAGTATTTTGATACACTAAATTTACCTCCACCACCAATATGTACTATTAAAAAACAAAAAAAAATGACTTTTCTTCTGATAATAAGACTTTTATTTTGTCAGGAGGATTATAAATATGTAACTACTAAAACTTTGTAACAATTGCCATCATTTTTGATAGCATGGGTACACTAGTGCGTTTAATAAAACTTAATTAAGCAAAGGGACAATTGGCATTTACAAATAATTTAAATTTTGAGAAAATGAGAAATGATTTGAGATTGAATGACTGTTGCCAAAGGTTGAATTTACACAAGTTGTATTACGAAATAGAACTCAACATTTGGAAGAAAATCCTCTTCCAATACCCCCCCTCCCAAACACGCACACACACACACACACACAGTTACATTTGTAATTCTTGATGAATTAAGTTTTAATTTGTGTCTGATGATCATTACAGTTTTCTTCTGTTCTTGGTTGAAAGTAGAAATTTGTTAAAGTCTGCTTTATTTTATACAAAATTGTAAACTTTCTCTCTCCATACTTACACTCCTGACCAAATTCTTGGTAAATACTACCAACATTAGAAAAAAAACAAAATAATCTGAAAATCATTAATACTCGAGGAGCAATTTTAAATTAATCCAACTTTAAATGAATATTGGAATAACTACTGATACGCCTTATTCTGCTACAAGACTGACATAATTTACTTTATGCTGGTCTATAAACACTTAACACTTCAATAGGTTCTTTCTATTAAATTTAAGTTATCAATATCGTCTTTAAAAAAAAATATTACAATTAATTGATATGTGTGACTTTTTTTCCCTTGAATTCCAGGCTTTAAATAATCTGCAGTCTACATTTCAAGGATTTGGACATGTTAGCAGTGAAAATGTTTTCAAGGTGAGCTTTTTTTCTTTTGTTAAATTGAATTTATCTTTATCAGTTTGTGTAAGTCAAAATTTTTTCCTGTGTGTCCCACATCTTAGATCCATCAGACAAAATGGCGCGCATTGTTAAGCAATAGTATTTAAATGGCCTCTCAACTGAGGCAAGATGTGACACAAGGTCTTTTTTTAATGTTGAGTGCCCATATACATGTGTAGCAGAATATGCGTGTAAAAATGAAGAATTAAATTAATCTTCAAAGACGGATCTACAAATTTTAATAATTTTTATTTTTATTCAAGTATTATTATTCTTTCAACTGAAAGAAAAGAATTACACAAAATCTATTTTTATGTCTCCATTCTTAACAGATGAAATATTGTGTAATTATGTTGTTGACGGAGAGTGTGTTATTGCACGCTTAAAGATGTGTGTGTGTGGATAAATTCTAGTAGTGACTTTGTCATGAATGCATGACAGGTGATTGGAAGAGAAAGGTCAGAGAGTTGTGTGTTATGTATGCTACTGTTGACACATGTAAACAAGTTAGTGGAATGTCTTCGTGAAACATAATTTTTATAATGTTGAATACTTGAAATAAACAAGCAAAAGATGTGAGAATTTCAGTTTTGTTTGCATGACAAACAATTGAACACAAACAACCCTGACCAAGTTAACTGAAAAACTTTTCTTTTTTTTTTTTTTTTTAAGCAAAATGTTTTGATACTTATAAGAATCATGTGAATAAAACCAGCTCTGAAAGAATTAAAAATTTAGGCTTTTTAATCAAGAGCTTATTGGATAATAAATAATTCTGCTAATTTAAATATTCCTTTTAAGAAAGAAAAATATTGTTGAACATATTGTGAAGTTGAGCCTCAAAAATTTCATTTTGAGATATTTACTGTCTGCCAATTCAAAGAATACTGCACATCTCGTTTGACATTGCTGGTCAGTTAATATATATGAATGCAAAGATTCAAATAATTGGAGCCAGAAAAATACGTAAAGTTAATTTCTGTGTGATGAACTTTTAGTACTTAAATCTATTAGCATCTTTCTGTGATTCTGAAACAAGTCTCCACAAATGCATATGGTCCAATGACAAAAATTGCCCAATCCCCACAACCACTATCATGCTGGCATCAACATTACACCAACCCCACCTCTCTTAGTGCAATGAGGAAGCTGCTGCCACAGGTTTGAATCCCTGGAATTAGTCACCTTCTCCCATCTCAGTTGAGGAGAGAACAGATACTATATTTTAATGCCAGCCAAATGAGCAATAATTTTCTAGCAGCTTTTTATATCCAGGAGTCCCTCAATTAATGTGCTGAAATTTTTATATACCAATTAGTGCATGCATAATACTCAATTAGTGTGGTAAAACATTCTCAGTTTAACCATAGTAATTGAAAATTGATTTTTTTATAGTTTTATGATTAATTAAAAAATTTAAAAAATTTAAAAATGGAAAATTGTAACTATTTTGCTTATCAATAATGCATCTCTTAATGTACGTATTAGCTGCACTAATCGAGTATATATCTATCAAATAGTGTTTGCAACATTAATGTTTATATTTAATTTGCATAACAATTTTTAAAATCATATTTTAATAAATATTTTTTCTCTATGTTATTTTTTTGTAATGCTGATTTTTAAAACTGTATATATAAGTAATGTTTCTGCTGGTAAAGTTTATTGTTAAATTCATGTTTGTATAGAATGAATTTTATATCAGCTGTGTCGAAATTGAGTCATAAGTTAGAATAAATGTGTTTATCTTTTTTTTAAAAAAAAAAAATTAAATAAACCTAATCTTGACTTCTAAAAATATCTCTTAAAAACTTGAATATGTTTAAGTCAAACTAGTTTATCGGTCCTCTCTCAGATCAAAGATTGATGACAAAAATGTGTACAGTGACTAAGACAACATGAAAACAAAAAACAAATGTTACACGAAAGAAAATATAACACAGGCTAATTACCTTTAATCCCACCAATCACTCTTTCTGTTTGTGTGGAAATGGCTGGTAGAACTTAATATACACAGATTACAACACTTTGAAGTGAAATTCAGAATTAGGCTCACTCAGCCCCGATTTGACAATAAGATCTGACACATATTTATCAAATGTTTGAAATCAATAAAGAACAGAATGCTCAAGCAGTAGATCAGCAAAAACATGGGAGAAATTTACTTACTTTTATTTTGGGATTACACTTTGAAAATTTTTTTTTTTTTTTTTAATTTTGTGAAAATAGGTTTTATAAAATTCAGTATCTTTTATTCAATTATAATATTGTCTAATAAAGGATAAATGGATCACTTCAAAGCATTAAGGATTTATGAATCTTAAGTTTGAATTCTGAAAGTCAGTAGTGTACTTATTGTGGTCACTTTAAAGTCATCTTTTAGATTAATGGTCCCCAACCTATTTTGCCTGATGTACCCTTTTCACCATCATCCCCACTCATCTTTGCTAGATTGTCTGACTCAAAAGGTGCATTCCAAATAATATGCATATATTATTTAAAATCTTCATTCTTTTCCCTATTAGCACATATACATTTACATGGATTATTTTTGTAAAAAAAAAAACCTGAGAGCGGAAAGAAAACCCACCATCTCAGTTGTGCAGACCAGTGCACCTTGCAGGTTGTGTCGCCTTGGGGAGTTTGAAATTTGATATTTTGAGTCTACCAATAACAATGAAATTCTCCACTGGTTGAGAAGCCCTGTTTTAGATAATAATAAAAACCAATGTGTTAATATTAACCTATATCCTCCTGACATCAGTTTAAACTGACACCTTTTTCATATATCTAAACTGTAGAGTCTGTCTATATTTCTGAGATAAGGTATTATGTATTTACATTAGTCGGGCTATTGTCCTCATCTTTGTCGCCATATTTGCCACAACGTTTCGGCCGTTGTACACTCCGTCTGGTTGGAATTTCGAACTGAACTCTTTATTTCGATAACTGGGGTAGACTGTTCTAGTTCCATGTGCCATGTTTTGATGGATGTCAGTTATCATTTATCTCCTCTGAAAGTTCTCCACTGCCTTAACCAGGTATTGAACTCGCCTTCTTTTGGGTCTGTCACTGGATCTAACCAACGCCTTTATCCACTGTGCCATGTGTCCTTGAGGACATCTGGGTATGAACTTCTGAGTATTATAAACCTTTTTTCAGCCATTGTACCCTCTGACCTTCAGGTATTTGTCAATCTGGGTAACTTTCAAGGAATTTTGAGCTGAACCTTTTATTTAATCTACAGGAGTAAATAAAGAGCTTGTCTGGTGCAAACATCAAATATAACAACCCAGATACTGGCAAGAGATTATCAGCATTACATGTACCCTTGAGAATAACAACTGCTCTGCAAACTTAACATCAACTTCTGCAAACAGAAAGGTCAAGTGGGTGGATTGAAGAACTGCCACAGTTCTTTATGTCAGGGGCTTGTCGGAAAGAATTCAAAAGATTTATGCTCCATACAACGCCAGGACAATATTCAGGGGCAGCTCACCCTCTGCAAATTCAAGCCTAATACAGATGAGAACATGATTAAGATCTATATGTACTCCATCCCTTGAAGCTGCAGCAAAGAATACAAAGATGAAAATAGCTGACCCACTAAAAAAAGACTGAAGGAACATAAAAATGCTCTAATTAGGAGTGAAAACAATGAAGGCATGGCTGATTCTGTATTAAGGGAAATCCCCTGTTTAATGAAGTAAAAATACTGGACAGAAAAATATTGTACAGTCAGACCTCTAAAAGAATTGGCACATATGCTAGGCTATGAGGATCTCCTCAGTGGGTCTAATATAGAAATAAATACAATATAAGAGCCATTAATAAGAAATGACAGCAAGACTTCAGCAGCAACAGTAAATGTCAGCAGGGGTCAGGTAGAACATTAGTTTTTAAGTCTCTGAGTTCTTGGTTCAGGATTATCCTATGGGACAATAACCTCATGGATTAAAGTTGCTTTGTGAATTTTGGTGACAGTAATTGTGAGTTCAATCCCTGTGCTGGGCATTGTATATTTGAACATGGTGGAAACAGGGCAAGCAGTAACTGAGCAGTACTAAATGAGAACAAGATGAAATATCCACAGGAGATGGACAGTGGAATGAGAACAATCTACCCCCACTCCCCATAGATTAAATAAAGAGTTCAATCTGAAATTCCATGAAAGTTACCCAGATCAACAAACATTTGAAGAAGGCCACAGGACACAACAGCTGAAACATTGTGATAATAACAAAGATGAATGTAAATCATAACTACTCATTCCAGAAATTCATTGAAATTTGTGGGAAAATTTCCAAGTTTTCATCTGAAAATAGAAACATTAAACAAAATGGTCACAATATATGGAAAAGGTGTCAGTTTAAACTGATGCCAGAAGGATATGGATTTAGGAAATATTTTTAAAAAATGAAACAATTTACATTTATTCTTATAAACAAGTTATATATATATAAAACTACCTTGAAATTTTTTTTTTTTTCATTCTTTTTAAATGAAGTGTTTGGGTCTAACAACGTTTTATTTATTTATAATTTATAACAATAATCATTTGATAATGTTTCATAGCAGACAAAATAATATAATAAAGAAGCCATGTTTATTTTTGATTTGAAAATAAATTTTCATTGTCTTTGGCAAACTATAATATGGGATGATGAAGTTAGACTAGGTGCAAATTGTATCCAGTTAACATTACCTTACCAAAGACTTTGCTTTGCAAATTAGATAAGGTTTTGTTTGTCTTTCTAATAGAGAAGTTGGTCTGTTATGGTATTAAATATATTTTAGGTGTTACCTGAAAATATTTATTGTTTTACCTTTATTGGAATAAAATCTTGTTTTGTGTTGCATATATTTTTTGTTGATGTTTTCAGAATGTACTTATTGTTTTTGTACAGGTATGTGACGAGCCACACCCATTACTCATCAAGGACATGTTGCAGCACTGTGTAAACGGAAATATTGATCAAGCTTACAAAGTTATCTCCCATCTCTGGAATATGGGTTATGCCTCTGAAGATATTATTAAAATTACCTTCCGTGTCTGTAAAACACATACTATGGCCGAGTACCTCAAACTAGAATTTATAAAGGTAAATAAACACAGTTGGATAAGTATTTATTTACACAAAATGAATCTTTCTTTTTTTTTTTTTTTTTTTTTTTTATGGAATAGTTTAACATTTTTTTGTCATTACCTGTAATTGTCCTTGATCCAATTTTACAGTAAAACATTCTCCATGATATCAGATAACACTTCCAGATAAAATAGTAATTTGTATCATGCATGAATTTGTGATAATTAAATGAATGCTATCGATTTTGTTTTTCTAAATGCTTTCTTTGATATTTTATTAAAGCTTCAGCCAGACATTCTGCTTAACATTCACCATTTCTGAAAAGACTTCATATTTAACAAGTTTTTGTTTTGATTAATGCATATTGCAATACAGGAAAGAATATCTCATTAATTTCTGGAGATGAGGAGTTATCATTATTTACACTGTTTACATCCAGATTATTGTCCTCATCTTTGTTGTTGCTATCACTGAATTTCTGGGATGAGGAGTTATCATTATTTACAGTATTTATATTTGGACTATTGTGTTCATTTTTGTTGTTGCTATGGTTTTAAGTGTATATATAGGTAACTTACATGGAATTCTGAACTGAACCCTTTATTTAATCTATGGGGTAGATTGTTCTCATTCCACTGCCTATGGTTAGGGATATCTTGTCTAGTTCTTATTTTTAGAACTGCTCAGTTATTGCTCACCCTGTTTTCACTTAGTACAAGTACACACTATCCTACCCAGGTATTGAACTCACAATTACTATGTCACCAAATTCACAAATCAACACTTTTATCCACTAGGCCCATCAGTCCTACATAGGTTTCTATTGGGATTTGGTGACCTAGTAATTTTGAGTTGGGCAGCGTGTACTGGGAAATATAAATCAATAAATTGAAATCTAAAGCAATAAAATTGACTTAAATTTCATCACTATCATTTTTTTTTTTCCCCTCCAGGAAATTGGCTACACCCATATGCGAATTGCCCAAGGTGTTACCACGCTCCTTCAGATGTCAGCTTTGTTGGCACGATTGTGTAAACTCTCGTCTGATCCAAACAAAATTAAAAAATAAAGGAGTTTTATTTACTGGAAAGATGAATTTATGACATGCTTCTAAGAAGACTAACGCTGAAGTTTCTCAAATACTTCAAGAATTAGCAAGATATTTTTGTATTTTCAGCTTCTGCCTTATTAAAATGCTTACTACCAAAATTTCAGCTGTTTCTCACTGATAATTATTTTATGCCATTTGTTCTCTTTCCTCTTGTTTTACAGAACTATTTTCAACAAAATGGCATGAATACATATTTATCAGCATATATAAATAATCCTGTTTTTCATGGTTTAAAATTCTATCAGTGAATCCTGAGGTCACCTTTTACATTTGTTTGATTATTTGTATATTACCAATAACAATTCAATTACATGTCCAATGATTGAACTTATTGAATGTTATATCTCCATCAACAGATGTTTCAAGTTAATCAACAAAATCCCAGGGAGGATCTGTAATATTATTTGTCCTGACCTGGCTTCTCAACTTCAGTCACTTTCCCACTGCTGTGACATTGGTCCCCCCCCTTCACCAAGAGTTACCTAATTGTTAAACAAATTCCAGTATAGATGCTTTCTTGATCCTTTTAATCTTTGCCTTTTGGAGTCGAGGGTCAATCGTTATCTATCCTCCTTATTGCCATAATCACCACTTCCTACCACTTTTTTTTCCACTCGTATTTCACACCTCATTCATCATTACCATTTTGACTGTAGAGCCTTCCTTGTATTGGGTAAAAAATGCATGTTTGATTTTTAAACAGCTAATAACAGAGAAAGGAAATCTGCATCCCTTCATCTTGAATCTAAAAGTGCTACTATTTCAAATTCTCTGTTAATAAGGGAAAGAAGATCCCAGGTTTTGTTTTCAAAACTGCTACTTCAACTTATCTACTCATGGAAGAAAGAGATATTAATGACTTTCATCTAAATCCTATGTTACCATATTTCTCAACTGCCACATTTCTGTTTCTATAAGTGCCTAGTATTTATATTTATTGTATTGTTTCTTGTTGAGTCCAACTTTTGATGTTTCAACACCACAAAGAGAAACACTCACACACACACATACACATACACAGTTGTCAACTAGGTGTCATCATTTTACTGTTGTATCTCTATCTATAAAAGGCAGGATGTATGTGTGTAATGAATGCATGGCCACAATTTTTGAAGGATTTGCACCAAAATTTACATGCACATGCTCCAAGTTAGCGGGAAGGCCAAGACCGACTTTGCATTTCCCAACTCCCATCAATAGTGGAAACAAACGCTTTTTTTTCATGCTTCTACGGCAGTTTTCATGTAGTTTGTGGCCATTTTCTACTGGCCAGAGTGAGAGCCTATAGCTGGCTGCCACGAATAGGCAGGAAGATTCTATTGGCCAGTGCAAGAGCCAACAGCTAACTGACACGAATGTTAACTAGCATGCAAAAAAAATCGATAGCTGCATTCATCACAAGTGGGAAAAATTTAAATCTGCATGGCACTTTACTCCAATTGGCTCATTTGTTTACTTAAACTCAACGTTGATTCTGATTCTACAGAACTGGGTTGGGTGTGAAAAGTATTTGTTAACATTCTTTTTTCATTTCTTTTTTTTCAGTTACGAGTCCTTTTTTTAAAGCTGATCGTTTTGTTTATTTTTAGTTTTTTTTTCGCAGTGTGAGATAGGCAAGAAGTAAGGCATGTAGCAACATCAGCACAGCAAAGGGCACTCCTTTAAAGGCAAGGAAGGGCAAAAATATTTTAAGTGATAGCGATTGCTGTATGAGTCGTACAATTTTTGAATCGAGAACGGACAAAATTGAAGTTCTGTCCAGATAGTTTCTTTTCTTGTCTGTGGATTTCTTTTCCAGTTTCTTGCTGGAAAAACACCAAGTGAATAAAGAAGTGCTCAACTTTTATGGACATGCATGTGCCTCCTCAAGACCTGCAGGTGTTTTGCAAACTTTTAGACAAATGGAACATCTGGTTGAGCCATTTTACTTGAGTGGTTGAGAATCAATTGCTAATGTGTCAGGACTTGAACTTTGAAAACTAAAACAAGATGCATCAAAGATGGTAACAGAACAACACTAAAACCATATTAATTTGCTACTAGTACCTATAAAGATTTTACACCTTTCCTGTTTGAATTTTGTTTTCCTTTTCTTTTACTTACAGAAATCAAACAGCATCTCTGATATGTCTTTTACATCTTTCCTCAATCAAAACGGAATAATCCATTATTTATGAGATATTGGTAGGGTATTTCATCCTTTCATTTTCTCACTGAAACCAAAAAGCATTTGATATATCATTTCCATCTTTTGACTCAATCAAAATCAAATAATTTATGACATATTGGCAGGGAATAGCAGTTGTACTAAGTATGGGTAAGAAAATCAGAATTATAAGATAAGGCAAAAAAAAAAATTGATAATAAAATTAAATATTGTATCTGATACTATGGAAGTAATAAATAAATACACACACACATATGGGAAGTAACCTTTCTTTCAATCATCTTTCATTGAAAATGGCTGACAAGGAAGATTTAATTAATCTCTTATTGAGTTTTTCCAGCATTCTAGCATTTTTCAGGGATTAATATAGAAATTGTCTATAGTTATAGTTGTTCCAAGTGCTTTAGGCTAGTTCCATAGTCATTATCAACAATGTTGTTTTGAATGGTGAATTTCTGTGTTGGATTCTAAATCGTAGTTTTTCTGTGTGAAATATGTGCAGTGGGGCTTGTATGCTTTTTGTGGCAGTCACATGCTATGTGCAGCTGGTTGACCTGGGCATCACTTCTATTTTTAGAAAGCCTTTAACACGCCATCTCCACTGCTAAATAGTGTAAGACTGATAGCGGGAGAATGGTATATAATAAGCAGCACTTCCCTAATGATGAGCTGTCTACGACTGTGATTTGTAAAGAATCTTTGTGTTATCAACTAGAATTTTCCTTAAAGGTTTTTGTAAATTATGAGTTAATGTTTGTTAATCACACTGTGCATCGAAAGACAATATTAAGGAGGTAGTGGTGTGTAATTGATTTTTGACAAGTAACACAGTCTTGTACTAGGCGTTGAAATTGGTACACTATATTGGTCACCACTAGTTTAGATTTGGTGGGGTTATTTTGGTTGGTGACAATGAGGTTTGCAGTATTCCATTTTCTATAATATATTATGAACTTTGTTTTCCAGGGGTTACAGCAGAAATATGGTGTTTAATGATTTTCCTTATAGCAAACTTATCCTGCTTATAATTATTGTGCATCTGGTTGAAATAATATATACACACACACACAAGTGGTTAGAAAGTTGGCTTTCTGACCATAAAACTCGGGTTTGAATTTCACCATAGTTGATTTGTCAGGGAGGTTACTTGGTGCTATTGGTCTGGGGAAGTGATCTTATACAGCCCATTTGGTTTTGGTTGATTCATTTTCTAAGGTTTATCAACCCTTTGCAGGTTATTTAAAGCCAGAAAATATTTTTAGATTGGGAGTTTTTTTTTGTTTTTTTTTTTTTTTAGATTATAATGGTTTCATGATACAAGTCTTATTAATTAACTCATACCTGGAGGGAGAAGTGGATGGGTGCATATAAATTAATATAATGAAGTCAATGAGAATTTAAATTGGCTCTCTAACAATTCCAAGCCATTATCCATTACACCAACTACAAATTCAAGCTTACAGCACCTGGTATTCCCAAGTGGTCACTCATCTAGGTACTGACCAGGTTCAACATTCACTTCAGTGATTAGTTTCAACATGATATGGCTGTGTGTGTATACACACACACACACACACACACACACAATGATAGTAAATATAATGATACCAGCCTGAACATATTTCAAATTACTCATGAAACAAGGTAATAGATCTGGTTCACAATGAATGATTATAAAGATATAACATTGTGAAGTTAGTCTTTAGATGTAGACATAAAACAACTTTTCAAGCAAAGGCCTATGAAAATTCTTTTCCACACTACGATGTAATAATATAAGAAAGTCATAGATTGTTAAGATGTAACAGGCTCATACAGTCACATATGGCATTATATGGACTAATAAGAAAAAAAAATAAAACACTTAAGAGTGGGCTAATTTCAAATCCAGTGGATGTAAAGTTTCATTATGCATTTGCAATAGAGACTTTTTGACCATAACTTCTGATAAGGATTTTTATTACTTCGTTCTCAAATTCCAACACACTTCCCTTACACATAAGCTTGTCTATCATTCCAACCTGAAGACACTTGCTATAGAGATGAAATGAACAGACTGGCTAATTTTTCCATTTTATCTCATTATCTTCACTTTTGTTCAGATACTTTTCTTGATCCTACCAACACACACATGTAGTGTGTGTGTGTATATATATATATATATATATATATATATATATATATATACACACACACACACATACAGGTAAAATGTTTGTCACTTTGCTGATTAATGTTACCTTCAGCATCCCAATTCCAGAGTTTCATAGATGAACACTGGGAAATACCCTGTCCACTTGTCAGGTGGCATCAGCAATTGACTGTTTTTATTTTCTCAGTTTTTCATTTTTAGATGCACTTTGCATTAATGCAAGTTTGTTTTTGTTTTTTTTTTTATAGTGTATGTATGCATTCGCCCATGCACATAAAATATAAATATATATAGTTAAATTTTGCAGAAGTAATTCTGAGAATAAAGACATTGGTTTAAAAATGACAATTGAAAAAAATTCTTGCCGACATGTTTCGTCTTCCAACTTTATGAAGGCAAGCAATGGAAGTGAAATGTTTTGTATCCATAGTTACATCAAATTCAAAATTTAAGAAAGAGATACTCCTGCTTAAACCTCATTCTGGATATTGGTATTGGTAACTTCCTTTTTGCTAAGAGTTTGTTTTTTGTTTTCCATGTCGACAATATAGTTAAATTTCCCAGAAATAATTCTGAAGATAGACAAATTTTTTTCCAATTGTTATTTTTAAACATATATATGATTTACCCTAATCTATG